AGTAGAAGACGAGAAACACTTTCTTCTAAAATGCAAACTACACCAAGAGGAGAGGATTAAACTGTTCACTGAACATAACTTATCCTCAGCTGGTGTAGCTGAGGAAGAAATCACGATAAAAATTCTCACCTCTACCGACAACAAAGAAATCACTGACTATGCAAAATACATTTTTAACTGCTTTAACCGCAGAGATATTACACTGAAAAAACCACCAGCTGCCCCAAAATAATCACTCAATTTTACATTTCTTGTATTTTTTCTTTTACTTTTGTTCTGTTTTACTTATTGATGTAATTTTCTAATTGTTTACTCTATTTTGTTACTTTTTTAGCTAGCTGTTGTTTATTTAAAACAACATTCTTTATTGTATTATTTTCAAGATCCCAATAAGGATACGAAATCAATAAAGTTATTACTTACTTACTAAGGAGAACTTATAAATAATGAAATACAACAATAATCCAAAGAAGACAAACCTTCAACTGATTGTAGTCCCTTGTAAATGGAACAACCAATTCCCACAGAGATGAGAACGCAGCTAATGCTGTAAATTCCAACCGACTGTTGGCAGCCATGTAGTCTAACAATGTTGTGATACCATGTTGGGCAAGATGGCGTCTTTGATACTCTTCACTGCCTTCAGTCGCTGGCAATGGTCTTGCCATTGACAACGACGCATCAAGAAGCACAATGCTAGGCATATTTATCTGCAACGAATCAGAAGAATTATTATTTTCAGTGCCAGAGCTATGTTCCACTATGTTGCTAGGACATGCACTACTGTACCACGTATTTCTATGGGCTCTGTACGAGCTGCTGTGGAACGCTGGACAAAGAAAAACAGCTCATGTTGAGGAAATAGTACAAACTCAACTTTAAGTAATCCTGAGCAACCAAATTTATACATGTTGCACATGTAGGGGTAATCTTGTTACACTGTTCAGTAGAGTCTCAACAACTATCCCAAAGTACTGTTTTCTGAGAGTTTTCAACAACTATTTTCACCAGTAATGGTTGCAAGGCAGTTAAAATGCTTGGATGTCCGCCCCAGAAAAAGCAGAGATAGAATTTAGCATTTGGTAAAAAACTTTATTTTCACTCATTCTAACATTCAAAATTTGTTTTTGGTGATATACATGTAATTCCGATACCAGAATTTCAGATTATTTACGTCACATCCAAATACTTTCTTTTGTTCACACTGGATACGACAATTAAAATGTATTGTGTGGTGAAAATAGAATCCCAAAACCATCATGCAGGCACCAATCTTGTAAACAAAATTTATTTGCTGGCATTTTAGTTGTCTCTCACCAGATTAGCGCCAATGCGAATCTACTTGCATGATTGTACCTGATTGGCTACCCAGCCATAAACACACAACTGTTAGACCAATCAGAGGGCAGCTTGTTCGTTGAAAAGTTTTTTTAATGTATCAAATTCCACTTTGTATATATGCTCCTACTTGACTGCTAGATTACAGCCACAAACAAGAAAAGGTGTTAAATTAAGTTATCATAAGAATATGGCAAACAATGCAACATACAGTATGAGATATCGACAAACTCCACTACACGATGGTTAAAAGGAATGCCTTACTACCTTTACTCATAATAACCTTTCAACACTGTGACTCAGTTCACAACTTATGGGTCAATGTGGGGTTGTTCAGTTAGGTGGGCAGCCAGACAGATGAATAAATGTTATGTTAACATTTTTGCAATGAGAAAGTACAAAAAGAAGTGAACAATTTTGAATCCATCTGATGGCGATTAGGGGAACAAAATGTGAGACAATCCTCAATGATAACCTTCTTCAGAAATGTTTCATCTTTGCGCCTAGAAAGAAAAACATTTTCAGAAGGCCGCAAAATAAAAAGTCCAGATTTTTAAACCAGCTGCAACTTACATCGTGTTCAATCAATTTATAATGACACAATTGGACATTCAACTCAAGGTGTCTGCAGATTTATTATTAGTACATTCAGAAAGCTAATAACAAAACCTATTGAAATTACTGTGAATTAAGTGTAATCTCAATTATTAAAATAGTGTTCAGTACCTTCCACTTCACAAGCTTTAACAAAAGGAAATTGGTTTAATCGTATTTAACAGCACAAGGTCTCTGAACTCTAATAGAGATACTCATAAATATTGTTAGTGGCTCCAGTCGGTTTCTGTTGCAGCAATGAGATATTCCTGAGAAGATTTGCAGCCATTTTTACAAGTCTTGGCTATAATCCATGATAATATCATTTACAATTGAAAAACGCAATTCAACAACCTCGCATGGTGAATGAATAGATGGATGGAATGCAGGTAGGTGTATTGTTCGGCTTTTTTTTTAGTCCCCATTGGATGCAGTCAGAAAACGGGTACTTATGTTTTGACCTGTGTGTGTGTGTGTGTGTGTGTGTGTGTGTGTGTGTGTGTGTGTGTGTGTGTGTGTGTGTGTGCGTGTGTGTGTGTGCGTGTGCGTGTGTGTGTGAATGCATCCAATCCATGTCCACCTCTATCTCGGACATGCCCAGGGCGTATCACATTCAAAGTACACACATACATCATACATCTTGGCACACATATGCATGCCCATTTGTTTCAGGATCTGACTTAAGATGGCCGAATGGGGGTCATTTTAATATTTAAATTCATCCAGATCTTGTTATACATAGACAGCTATTGTCAATCTTGGTACATGCTTTGAACCTATACATATATACATATATATATTAGGACAATAGTGGTTTTTCAGAGCCATGACTTTGACATACATCGACTGATTGCAATCAAACTTTACAACTACATTATGCATCATGTAATTTGTTTCACGTTCTGATTCAAATCGGCGACTCATTTAAGGTTTGTTATTATTGTTATGAAAGTACAAAAAGTCGTACAACAAACACTGCTGCAAATTATTCTTATGGCAAAATGATACAGAGATTGCAGTTTTCATGACAGCCTTTTTTTCTGCACCAGCTTCTAAACGAGTACCCATGTTCACACCAATTCATCCAATTTTATCTTCTTTTTTTTTTTTTCATCTTCATCATAATCTTCCTTAGGTTTCACTGAATCCCCCGCATTCACTGTCGGACAATACAAAGTTTTGAGTAACCACACTCCCACTATAGATCTTTCCAGAATCAACAATTGTTTAACATGCTCATTGCTTCCATCTCATATACAATGCTCCACGTGTGCACCTAAATGGGCCATTCCAGTTTATATCTGCACCTCCCCCCTGTTGATGAGGTCGGTTTTCCAGCACTGTATGATTGGGAAAATAACCCGGAATTCCAACTGTATATGGAGAAACAGAATCTGGAAATCCAGACAAGTATGGAAAAAAAAATCCTGGAAATCCAGGCAGTTATGGCTACTAAATAAAATATGGCCTAGTTTATCTCGCCACATACCAGTTGATGGGGTTGGATTTCCAAGACTGTATGACTAAAAAAAACTTGGAATTCTGACTGTATATGGTAAAAAATTTGGGCCAGTATGAAATAGTTATTACTGAAATTAGATAAGGATGGTGGCACGGATGAGCTCATCAACACCGTGAATCAGGACTAGTTTGGATTTCCATTATCAAATATAAAATTTTGAACTTAGTAAATTAGCATATGAGAGTTATATTTGGAAATCCTACTCTGTATGGTGGCACAAAGGAACTCATCAACACCATAAGTAGGAACTATAGTTTTGGATTTCCATCACTGTATGGTGAATGGTGATTTGGAAATAAAACTTTGTATGACTTAAACACCCATGGAAATGATACCCTGTATGAAGTAAACACACAAGCTCATCAACAGGGGGGTGCAGATATAAACTGGATGGCCCAATGCATAAAGGTTGTTCTACAGAAATGCATTTCAACAAAATGTTTTTTCTGATCTATTAGTAATAGCAAATTCATAATATTGATATATGGATAGCTTGAAGTCTGTTCAAATGTGGTGGGCTAGCTCAAGATAGATTCTTAATTTTCACTCTCACAATCTTTGTTTTTTTGTGCACAGTTTGTTGTTCTGTAGCAGGGTTAATGATATGCAAACCTATTGACTAAATGATGTGGATCATGTATGTTTACATGACAAACACTATTTGAAAGAAATAAAAAACTATAATAGCTTCAGTAATGGGGAGTATGATGCATTGATTTTCTACAATATTTTACATATTAATTAATGGGTGATGGCCATCGTACACATGTACATCGTTACCACATCCAAATAATTGTTTCCCATCAATACAATGTACACCATTAAAACAAAGTTACTTGTACAGGATCTGTACTCATTAAAAACCATTAGATTTGTAAGGGGTCTTTAACTATTATAATATTAATAACCAGAATCAGAATACTGTCCCAGCTATACAATTCCACCATTACATTCTGTTTGTAGACCTCGTTCTGACTGGAACGCAAATCCGGTTATATTTTAATACAACCCAAAACGACCAAATTTCTCGAATAAAAATTAACAATTAGTGCAGGCTATGTTGGTAGATTTTGATAAAAGGTCAAATTTGCAAAGTAAGAGTCGTCAATCTTGTCCGTGATATTTCTTAATTTAATATTCACAGTATTGCGGCAGTCGATTGTGAAATTGACTTACTGTAAATTACTTTATTTTAGCTGGAATTAAATTTTCGCTAAAAAAGACTTTTTGCTTGTTTTGTATGGAATTTATTTTCACTGATTTTTGACAGGTTGAATGTAAAATATAGGAAAAAGGTATATTCGCTGTATTTTATCCTTCAGTGAAAATAGCGAAAATTAATTCCAAACGAAAATAAAGTATTTACAGTACTTACCAACAACAAAGCGTAACTCTGCCTGGTACAAGCCCTGGGATACACGCGTCTATGGGTGAAAGGTGGTCTTAAGGGACTCGCTCGCAATAAAACAAATTTGTAATAAAACGTTCCGTACCAAAACAGTATGACCAAAGGCTAAGACAGGCATGTTGTTTATATATTCTGTGCGGCCAAAATAAACAAGATTTGTCATCTACAGTGGGTCTGTGATTTGGCAAGATATTACATATTCCGTCGCAGCCTATTTCATGTTTGTCAGGCATTGTGTACACGTTCACGACGCCACCACCACCACCACCACCACCACCACCATTGCACATAATATCAATAAACAATGTCGAGTTATCCCTAAAGACTGTAGAAAATCATAGACATGAACAAAATAGGCTTACACTCTTTCTGCAACAATTCACATGTTACATCTCTAAGAACACATTTCTCCAGCTTCCTTTCGTTTGTGACTTCCGCATATCCTATTTTCAACGCATGCGCATCGACAAGTCTGGCAGCTGAGTGGACCCTGGCTGATTAATAAGGTTGCACAATTTAATAAGGTTTCGTCGTGAATTGGATTAAATACAGTATAAAAAATCCCCCGCAGTGATTGCCCGGGGTGAGTGCAACCTTTTAAAAACCCTGTCATCA